GACTTGCTTGAGACTTGTAGGTTAAGACTTGAGACTTGCTCATGACTTGCACATGTAGGACTTACTCCCACCTCTGGTGTGTGTGCTCGCTCACATCTTTAAGTGCTTAGTCACGAGTCTCCTCCTAAAACCCTTGCTCCATATGACTATCCTTGTGTCCCACCAGCAGAGATGGGGAAAGGTGGTTGTGGGTGGGGGGTGGGGAGGAGTGTATGTTTGTTGTTTGTACTGTTATGTCATAAAATGCAAAATCTGAATAAAAATATATTTAAAAAAAAGAGATGGGGAAAGGTGGAGCAAGAAGGATGGTGTAAGGAGCGAGGCAGAGAGAGAGTTGGTAAACTGGAGCATCCTTCATTTTCAGCATGCGAGAGGCAGACATTGACACTAGAACCGCAGAGGGGGGATATTTGACCCCCTACCGCACCGCTGTCAGCACCAGCCTGAACCTGGATCACTGATCTCTCTCGCGTACGATTCTCTTTTTCTCTTGTTTATGTCCCTATCGATCAAATCTAGCTATAGCTCAAGCTCATGAAATGAAACCCTGCTTATCAAAGGGCATCTAAACAATAGCCATTGCTAGGCAACCGGGTGTGGTGCCAAAGTATAGCGCAGCATTAAACAGCTGTTTATATGGGGGGTAACAATTACCCCTTTTGGTGGTTCTGGGTCAAAATTGTTTTTATTTTCATCCCACAACCCCCAAAATTAACTAGGTGATAAATATGCTAATTGTAGTCAAACTCATTTAGTAAAAGATTTGTGTGGGTTTCATTTCATTTCAGTTACATATATAAAAAAATGCAGGGGGGTAAAAATGCTTTGCGGTTCTAGTGTTAAGCTACAGTGACTAGCACCACTGGCCTCTGTATGCCCCCCCTGCCATTTCCTCTCTGCTCAGGCCAAAGCTGACGGGTCATTGTATCGCTGCTGTGCGATGGGGCATACACCAGCAACACAAAAACATTAAACCTAACAACAACTCACACCAGCCCAGAAAAGTGAGGCACAAAACATACAATAGCAACGCAGAATAGCCTGAGGGGTAAAACAAATGCTGCCTTTGTGCAGATGCATGGGCTCCTGTGTGTATAGTTGCCTCAGTCCTCCGCCCAGTGTCAGTCCAGAAGCTAATGGCAATCACTTTGCCCCGGACGCTGCAGGGAGCCTTTCCGCCTTGAGAACAATACAAATCTCTGAAATGTCAACCAAAACCAGTCAGCTGCAAAGGACTTATTTTTGTAATACAATATAACCTACTGTGTGTGTAGTTGTTGAAACATAATTTACATGCCACGAAAATATAACAAATTACAGTCTAACAAGTTGCTTCTGTAGTGCTAAAAGGTGTAACTATACACGAAAGAAAGTACGAACATTTGTGAATTAATGAATAATGTTCATTTGGGAGCCCAGTCCAGGAAGCAGACTGTAAGGGATATTTAGGGGAAAAAGCCCTCTGGTTGTCCATCTGTTTGGGCATGTCTCAGAACTCTGGACACATCACTGCAGTGTAGGGCTGCTTAATTAATCGTAATTGAATCGCAATTACGATTATGGCTTGCAACGATTACGAAAACAACGTAATCGAAATAAAACGATTATCTTTTTATTATTATTTTTTTTTTTTTCAAACACATTTTTTTCAATTTTGTTTTTCAGTTGAATTATACTTAAAGTTCAGGGTAATCAACTGTTAAAAACATACTGTTCACATTTTTTTCTCCAATAAATTGATGTTTTCAAAGTAAATGGATAATCGTTTTTAATAATTGTGATATCAATTATTGACCAAAATAATCGAGATTATGATTTTTGCCATAATCGAGCAGCCCTACTGCAGTGGCACGCATACACATGTTTGTAAACAAAGCAACACACCCACACAGGAAGTCCAGTCCCACTAGACAAACTACCAACCCCACCCTAACTGTCCAGCCTCAGAAAAAGAAAACATGTCTCCACAAACCAACACAAGAATATTTTTTTGATCAAAAAGGAGCAAGATGAAGCAAAAAAACTGAGGAGTAAAGTGAAGAAAAGGAAATAAAAACAGCAGTACAGAAAGATATTGATAAAAACCACAAATAAATAAAATGAGTATATAAACTGAAATTGTAAGGGGCAAAGGAAAGACAGATTGAATGATGGAGCTTCGTCTGCATAGCTGAAAATGAATGGCAATCCTTCGTTTTCTATCGCTGCAGCCATTAATTGAAGAATGTGGCATATTAATAATAAAGCTTGCTCTCTCAACTTAGGACATTGATTCACACCTCCTCAGCTTATGGTGTAAGAAATCGATCAATCTCGCTCCTTCTTCATCTCTCTTTCTCTCCTTCTTGAGCTCCTCTATTACCTTGCTAAATATAACTTCCTTCCCTCTGTCTTTGGCCAGGAAATGAGCCCAACATTCAATAACTGGCTGTGATTTAGGCATGCTTCGCAAATGAGATCTCCAGAAATGATTGATTGATTATTAATTAATTTGCTAATGTCCCTGATTGATCTACAGGGGGTATATGTTCGGCGAAAGAGAACATGAGGAACCAAAAGAGGAGAGGAAAGGGTTTGGGTTAAAGGCGGCATATAATGTGCTTCCTATGTGTGCATGATATACAGTCACATGATGTAACAACTGGAAGGTAAACCTCTGTTTACATAATGATGTGGTCTAGAATAGAAAAGACAAAAATAAGAAGGAAAAAGAGAAGAGAAACAAAGAGAGAGATCCACATCGAATGCCACTGGGAGCAGCACATGCCTGGTTGCCTGTCTGTGTGTCAGTCGCTCTGTCTGCTTGGCCTTGAAAATCCCAGCACTCAAAGCCAGACGACCACAGAACTCATGCCCACGCCATACATGCACGCACACAGACACACACAGACACACACAGGCACACACAGACACACACAGACACACACAGGCACACACACTGTGGCCTGTTCTATCCTACGCTATTGATCTGCACCCCACTCTTCATTAGACAGAAAGATTCAAAGGCAACAAGGAGCAGTGAGACGTGTTGTGTGTGTGTCTGCGTGTCTGCGTGCATGCAGCATGTATGTGTGTTCCGAGATGTAAATGTATGATCAAGGGAGTTGTGTAAACTGCGTGTGGTTACATCCCGTGTGTGTGTGTGTGACTTTTTCTGTATAGGTGTCTTAGTGTGTGCATGCTCGCGCTCATGTGTGTGTACGTATGTGGATGTACTGCCAGGTATCAGTAACAGTGGGAGCGAACTGTGTTACTCAAATGCAGTCTGTCCTCGCTGGGTGTTCCTATGGAAACTCTCTCTCTCTGTATATTATTAGACCTTCTTGAGTCAACTGCTCAGAATAGGAAGACACAGATCTCATCTATATACACTCGTTATAAAGTGCTCCGTCTCGCTCCTGTACAACATGGGAGACTTGATTCTGAGGGAAGATTTTTGCTTTGGTGATGAGTAGAGCCTCTTGCACAGGTCGAGGGTCAACATTGATTGACCTGTAGGCATCAGATCAATCACTGTTATTGGGCAGCCACCATCCCTGACACAAGCCTAAAGCAAACCTTGCAGTAATATTTTATTTTTCAAAACAAGCCAAGTACTTAAACCCCTGACAGCACAGCCTTTCACTGGATATCCTGTTTTCTTGGATTTTGTCTTTCTTTTTCTGGTTTGTTTAACAATAACACGTGCACCTTTTCAAAAACCACTTAGATACACAAAAGAAAAGCAGAAAATTATACTTTTACTTGCCATATTTTCAGATCAATTCCAAAACTGAAGTGCACTGTATGTATTTCAGATGGACTGAATAATAGGTAGGATTGCTTCTCACAACAAAAACATTACAACCAAACCTTTTTATTTATTTATTTAAGCAAAAATATATCTGATATTCTCTTCTTACAGCTGATACTGGTTCACTGTATGCTCAATGTTCGCAGGTATGACCAAATAAATGCCCCGCCCAGGATAATATAAGGTTTCAAACGTTTTTTGTGCGTGCAGCAAACTGTAAAGATTTACTGAATACTAAATCAGAAACATTGGATGGTGACTTGTACATTGTACATTCTCAAAACTCCAATTTAGCTAAATGTTAAAGAGTTGGATAAATGAATGATATTCTTGAGTCGATACTTTTATCAGAGATGTGGACCTTGAACAACCTCATTTATCTTCCTTAAGGTCAGATTTGTTTCCCCTAATTTAATTGAAAAAGACAATTTGAGAGTAATCCAAGATGAAAACCAGAGACAAGCTGAATTCTAATGTTGAACATAAAATATTGCCTGCGTGATAAGGTTCAGACATTGAGTATTAAGGTCTATTTGAATACATATTTGCTTTCCCTCCCTTTTATCCCAGAGCAGACATGCTCTGTCATACTATAAGTATTATTCTTCCTCTAAAAGAAAGTGCTACTTGTTGTTCCACTTAATTCATTTCATCTGTAGAGTGGAAAATGGAGGCAGACACGACTGGAAACCAAAGAGTTGAGTGCCAGCTGTTAATTGTTGAGGCAGTATATCATTCTGTTAAAGAAATAGAGGGTGTTACCTCAACAATGAAACACGTAAGTCTCCATATGTCACTCCTTTGTCACTGGAAAATGTGTGCAGTGACAGGAAGATGCATTTGAGTCTGTGTAGGTGTAATGTTTTTGACAGCAGTGTATGCTCATGCTGGGACTTGCTGTCTTTGCATACAATAGTTTGATATGATTATATAAGCAGGTGTGTGAGGGAACAATGGTTTAAGCGCAAGGAACAGTCTGTGTAATGTTTGAAGATGTGCTGCAGGGAACATTAATGATATGGAAAAGGCAGGACTAATATTTATGTAGGTTTCAAATGGGGGGTGGTCTGATCAGGGCCTTAGCTTGCAGCCATTGCCATTAAATCATTCCTACATGTCAAGAAAAGATGGAGTGAAATAGAGCATAGAGCTGAAGTGCGCAGATTCAGTGAAGGGTGTGCAAAAGTGGAGGATGGCACAGACTGACCTCTGGAGTGGTAGTCTGCCGCCGTGCTGCTGATAGGCGCTTTCTTTACGGCTGAGGAGCGATAGACGATGTGTGTCCTCCCTTCTCCTCCGTCCTCCTCCCCCTCTTCCATCACTCCATCTCCCCTCTCCACTGGCTCGATAAAAAAGTCCTCTTGCTCCATCCTGATCATACCAGCCTGAAAGAGAGTGTGGAGAATTAATTGGATGACATTAAAACCATTTGAACTCATATAAACACTCAACACCGAGCTCCGCCCTTGTTTGCCTCTCACTCTCTTCTCCAGCCATCCTTCACTTCCTCTCTTGCCCTGACAGTTTAAGGACAGAAATAGCCCTTGTCTGTACTCCACTGCTGTGTTAAGGGCATGCTGGGAGAAAAGGAGAAGAGGAGAGGACGGCAGTGATCCCTCCTGGGGACCTGCAGAGGTCCAGAGTGACACCTGGCATCTAAAATGGCCAACACAACAGCAGGAGATGAGACTGTCCCACTCCTCCATCCTAGACTAACACATTCTGTCAGGTAATTCCCCACGTCCGCCTTTACGAACACACACTCACACAAACACAGATGCAATGTGCGCATAGGCAAACTCACAGAGAGAGAGAGTAAGGCGGGGAAGTGAGGGGAGAAACTCTGAAAGAGATGGAGAGAAGTTAAGAAGCGTGCATTCAGAACGCACACACAAATAAAGAAGTTGCGTGCACATGAACGGGGAAAACAGGCACTGGGAAAATTGCCCGTCACTCTCTCTTATTCCATCTGTCTGTATAAGACAACTGGTAATTACCAAGGCAACGCACTGATGTAGAGGAAAGCCATGGGGGAGAACACACAGAGAGGATGGAGATGGCACAGAGAGGAAGAGCGCAAAAAAGATAGAGAGCGATAAATGAGGAAGAGAGATACATTCGATACGATCAGCGCTTGCCTGCTTCTCCCTCCGCTCTGACAAGAGAAGGAAGGGATGATGAGCGAGTTGAAGAGAGGAAAGTGAGCTGATGGAAAAACGAAATATTGTGTGTAGAGGATTGTGTGATGAAAAGATGAACTGCATAAGGCTTTGCTAAAAGACTCAGTAATGCCACCCTCGGGCACAATGACAGGCTACAAATGTCTGTTTAAGTCAGCCCATTACATCTGTGAGAGTAAATAGATATATTCAAACTACAACCTCAATTATAATATATTTGACAGTAGACTTTACAATACAGTACAGTTTTTCTTTCAAACTCTATAAACATAAACACATGACACCTGTAAATGGTCCCAAGCCAGCTAAAACCAGTCATCCGCAAAGGGACTGAACCTTAGTGTGTCTGTCTTCCCGCCGTAGGGTTAACATATCTTATGTAGCACATTTTTATCCTGTTAGAGTGGTGTGCTTTTTTAATAAGTGTATGAGTTTTTTTTCTGCCTTTGTGTTTTCAAAGTGGTGAAGATGTTTGATCCTTGGCTTGTCTTGTTTATTTGCACGTGTTTTCTTTAAGTTGCAGTGAGTTGAGCTGTCTCGGCCACCTATAAATAAAATACATTTGGCTTCACAAGCAGAACAGAGAGAATAGATCTACAATTCTTCCTTTGACTGAAGTCATTTCACTATAAAACATCTGTATTTATAAAGTTATCATCTATACTATACACTATATGGAGCCTGGAACTAACCCATTTGATGTTTTCATTTATGAAAGCACCTAGACTCTAAACATTCTTTTTTTTTGGTACAGCATAATGAGTCCTTTGAGCACTTAATGTAATGGAGTAAAATAACGTTCATACTCCATGCATTCCTTAGATAGCCTGATTTGGATCCCTACATAGAGAATAAATAAGAATATTATGTGCTACATTTGTCTTGCCTTTATCCCCTCCTCTCCCATTCCTCTCTCTCTTTCTCCCTGTCAGTCTGAGGCTTTAGTCCCGGAAGGATGTCGACAAGCCACTGACCTGCCCTCTCACTCACTCTCCCTCCCTGCCCCCCTCTCTCCCTTCTCATCCCTCCATTTCCCCGAGCCGTGGTGCGGCATTCCGATCGGAGCTGATGGATCTGCGATGGTGCATGCATTCCCACTCCAGAATACCAAGCAGTGGGCAGAGGAGAGCCGTGTCAAAGAAAAAAGATGACATGTGGGACTAGGAGACATGGTTGGATCGATCAGAGCCAAGTGGGGGCGGAGGGTTGGAGAGAGGGGAAGGTGTGAGGGAGAACTGGACACGTACTTTGAAAAGCCCGAGTGCATAAAGCATCAAAGCCTCTGCCCACATTTCCATAGTGAGAAGCATTTTCTTCATCTCCTTTATTAAAGCAGGAGCTGCCAAGTCCTAGTCGAGGAGATTACAGGGAGGCTTGTCCAAACACTGTGTCCAGAACAAATGAGAGGAATTCAGATTCTTCTGCATTACACACACTGTCCTAATGTGGCAAAAAACCACCTGGTGGGTTATTTAAAGTTAGGGTTAAAGGCCATAAGGTGAGAAGCTACGTAAAGATCAACTCTAAACCCATTGTTGACAGTAATGTAAAATGATTTGGTTGGAGTGGAGGGAATTTAGAAAAGAACAACTCTTAAACAATCATATGATAAATAATAACATTTAGTTGTGTTTAAGAAAAAGCAATCAAAAATGTATAACGTCTGTGGAGGATGTAAAACGTCTCTTTGCCATGTTATCATTCACGGCCCCTAACTCCAGCTCGTTATTTTCCGTCTACTGTCAAGTCAGGATTTCCATAGCTTCAGGCATTGAGATGACAGCACCTGGGCCATTTCAAGTTTTATTCTGCACTGCCAAACAAATACTGTATGGGTAAAACTAATGACACTTTTTTTGCGAAAGAACGTTGCAGAGTATCAAACTTGAACCTATATCTACAACTTTGTGTTTATTTCCTTAATAACTTGACCACAGACTTAAGAGTCTTACAGTATGTCGATTGGTTAACAAAAATGTCCACACCCTATGGCTGCTACAGTTTCCACTCTAGAGAAGGCTGACATTTTGCATGGAGGTCAAATTGTTGAGCGGTTGTGTTTTTTGAATGCAAGTGGATGCATGCGTGCATGTAGTCGCATTCTTAACTATGGAAATGTGTCTTCAATTGACATCACTGTAAAGGATACAAGGGGAAAATGAGTGTGTGAAATCAGTGTTTAAATGACTCAGTCAGTAGCAATGTGTGTGGCCAATTGTGCTGCTGCTTTATAATTTCATTGTTTGTTATATATTTCATATTATCACTCTATTACTTGCCTGTTCAGGGATTGTTGTGGCCCAGCTGCATCGCTAGTTGCTTGTTCTCTTATTACAGTAAACTCATTGGGCTCCTTCGGGTGATGAGCCTGAAGATGTTTTATTAGGTTTGACGTGTTCAAATGTAGCTTATTAGCTCCTCTCCCCTCATGAGACACTTGAATCTGACACAGTGGCTTTCTGCATCTCATCATTATCTCCATTGTTTTGAAAGTATTTGCACATCACACACAGGAAGTATGACTGCACATCTGGCTGAAAAGGTCATTGGTGAGCGTTCCTATGGAGTTCTAGTATATATACATTATTCAGTAAACAACATGATCAAAATGCAACCTTTCGCATACAATAGGCAACTAGGCATTTCCACAATGATAATGTTGCCAAATGATGAGATAGATTTATAGTTACAAAGCTGTTAAATATTACTAAATGCTTTGACTTTTTGAAACAATTAATAAGTAACAAAGAGAAAGCTAGAAAGCTGTATTAATGCTGTCTTCAGTTTTTAAATCAATTCAAACACTTCCGAGTAAATCTCCTTCACACGGAATAATGATGCGAATCACATCTGAGTGTGTAATTATGATTAAAGAAGAGAAAACATTGGCACATTCTGCAAAGAGCAGCCCGCACCAAATATTAACATCTGGCTCATTATCAAAGAAAACACCCATAATACAAGCTCACATCTCAGCGAATATAACGGACTACTATTACTCTCATGGCCATTACGATGGTGACACTAAACACAACCCTCCCTCTGAGACCTGAAGCCCCTCTGAGATATGTAGCCTCTAAATCTGGATCCTGCTCACTGAGTGTCCAGTTACAGCGGGAGGATCCTCGGTGTTTGAAGACACCCTGAGCTCTATTTGAAGATCTGAAAGGAGCAACTTGAGTCCTGGGTAAGGGTCCTGAGGGGCACGTGAGAGGAGAGCGGCAGAGTTGGAGTGGAAGAGCGGATGTTGTGGTGAGGATCAAAGTCACACCCGGTCGCGGCCCTTCAGCTCACTCCACCAGAGGCAGTGTGTTACTGTGTGTGTGTATGTGTATGTGTATGTGTATGTGTATGTGTGTGATCTGGTGTCACTGTATGTGTGTTTGATCTGATTCATAACCTTGCTACTGCTGGCTAACTTCACACACAGTTGCACACATGCATCCACAGGCTGACATACACACAAACACAAACACACACACACATCCCCGCACAAATATAGCTTTGATAGTGACTCACACGTACTGTGTAACCCTCCAATTCATTCACCCTTTGAGTCATGAGAGAATCGGGCTCGTACAATAGTAAGGCTGATTTGAAAAATTAGACACACTTCAGAGAGAGATTAAGAGGACACGTCACCGTAAATATTAATAGTGTTTCATTTAATCAGCAGCAAATAGGGCCTTTACGCTTAGCTCTGAGAAAGCAAGGTTTTGTGTTTGGATTATCGCTCTGGCAGAAAAAATAGGAGATTAATCTCACATTTCTGAACGGCGGCATTACGCAAAGCTATTCAAAACATTTAAGAAAAAGCTAAATATATGTCATGTACAGTATGACCGTTGGCAAACCTTTCCTTTGCGCTGTTTAAAAGGCAAGAAAGCAGAAGGTGCAGGAAGAGGGAGAGAACTGCAATTAAGGTTGTGTATTGAGACGGATTCATTAGGTGAATTACATTATTTGCTTAATGTCCTGAAGAGCGAGGTGATTGCCCAATTATATTAATCAGGGATATGGAGCGTGGAAGAAAATAAATCCGATGTAGCAAATAAAATTGATCAAATAAAAACACATGAATGGAGGGAAGCCACGCCATAATGAAACCCCCTACCTTTTCGTCCTCCTAAAGGTGCTCAAACACACACACACACGCTCATAAATATGCTCAGACAATGCCAAGTTGTGAACATGCGTGTGTTTGT